CCTGGCCACCACCCCCTGCCCCTAGGCCCTTCCCAGGGGGCCCAGGCAGCCCCCCACAACCTCCATCCCCCGCCTGCCCTCACATCAGCCTTGCCACTCCACAGCACTTACGAAAGCTAAACAACTTCAACTCCTACTTGGCCATCCTCTCGGCGCTGGACTCGGCACCTATCCGCAGGCTGGAGTGGCAAAAGCAGACCTCGGAGGTAAGTGGCCTCGGAGCATGAGCCAGGGCCGGCGAACGGGGTACCTGCCCAACCTTCGGGCAAGAGGCTGTGGCAGGAAGTGCGCGAACTGCAGTCGAGACCCAGTCCTGGGTCCCTGCTCTGCTGCCAGCCTGCCATGTGGCCAGAAAGATTGCCCTGCCCTGCCCTGCCTCCGTTTCCCACCTCTGATCTCCAGCCATCTGGTCCCAGGGGCTTCAAGGTTGGTTAGGGGGATCTCACATCAGGGTGTCCTGCTGCCGCCCCCAGTCCCGTCCCTGGGTCCCAGCTTCCCCTACTCGGCCCTTCCTTCAGCCCGTCCTGAAGGGGCTGGGCACCGCGTGAGTGCTGGGACACTGAGCAGCCTGACCTCTGGCGGGTGGGCTTCTGCAGGGTAAGTGCTGAGCAGAGAGGGGTGGGCAGATGGGCAGGGGGGCAGCCCAGAGGGAGCGGCATACATGCCCCCACCCGCTGTGGGGAGGAGTCTCCTGGGAAGAAGAGAGAATTCCTTTAGAGGACAGAGGTTCACAGCTCGGAGCAGGTGGAACCTGGACCCTTGAGCAAGATGGGGGCCAGACTGGCCTCGTTGTTGGAGGAGGGCCCCAGCCCGAGGTCACGAGAGCTTCAGGGCCTGCTAAGGAATTGGGTCATTATCTTTGTGTGGGGACACGTTCTTGAGAATGGGGGGCAAAACTCAACAGCTTGGAAGGTCAGCCAGGCCCCCAGGGGTCCTCCCTGTTTGCTGCACTAAAGGGACAGTCATAAAACACTATCACATGAAGAAGTCGGAAATTCATACTGGGTGTTACAGGCACACATGAGAGGTCCTGAGGAGGGAAGAAGACTCCCTGGAGGAGGCAGCACTTCAGGATTAGAGACACCTAACAGGAGTGCAGGCAGAAGAGTGGCGTTTTGAGCAGGGGGCAGGGTTGGCAGCGTCTCATAGGCGAGAACCCCACGCCGTGTGCAGGAGGTGAAGCGGCTCAGTCCTGCTGGCAGGCGAGGCCCCTCCATCCCTGTGGGTCCTCCCTTGAGCACAGTGAGGTGGGAAGGCAGCCCCGAGCCAGGAGTGACTGCTCCATGTGTGTTTTAGAGGCTCTCCGGGCTGCAGGTGTATTTTAGAGGCTCTCCGGGCTCCGTGTGTGTTTTAGAGGCTCTCCGGGCTGCAGGTGTGTTTTAGCAGCTTCACTAGCCACAGGCCGCAGCAGGGACCACACAGGAGCCTCTCTTCCAGTGTGTTGAACACAGTTGGTGCCACAGTTCAGTGATGATTCTCTCAACCAAGATGCAACAGGCACCAGGTGTATTTGCTCCACTAAAGGGCCTGACATCACTCTGCGAGCAGGTGTTTGTCTGGCATTTAGTTAGAAGGGACTGAATCCCACCTGGCCAAGGGCGGGTCTGGATCTGACTTAGTGTTCACACATTCTGGACCCCTGTCAGTGTGGACAGAGGAGGGGCGGTCAGCTGGTCAGCGATGGTGGCCAGGCCCTGCCTCCAGCCTTGTCCTGGCACTCGCTAACCCATCCCGTCCTCCAGGGCCTGGCTGAGTACTGCACGCTGATTGACAGCTCGTCCTCCTTCCGAGCCTACCGGGCCGCCCTCTCCGAGGTGGAGCCTCCGTGCATCCCGTACCTGTGAGTAGCAGCCCTGTCCCGGCTCTCGGGCTCCCAGCCCACCCAGGTTCCCCTCTTGGTGGCTCTGAAGAGAAAGCCTCACTCAAGTGCAACTGAGGTGTTTGTACTTCTGTGTTACTTTTAACCTTAAAAGTTAAACAGGCCGGTTGTGGTGGCTCATGCCTACAGACTCAGCATTTGGAGAAGCCAAGGCAGGATTGCTTGAGGCCAAGAGTTGAAAACCAGCCTGGGCAACATAGGAGACCCTGTCTCTACAAAAGAAAAAAAGTAAAACCTGCTCCTTGTGATGCATTTTATTTATTTATTTTTTTTTTTTTTTTTTTTTT